GGTGGATCAATGGGGAAGGGGTTTTGATCCTTTGACCTAATTCAACAAGGTATTAAACTCTGGAATCGTTCAAGAGGGCCTGGGTTATATAAAAAGTTACAAATGCTGGGTATTTCGGACTAAAATCGTACATAATTTATATTATAATTTACACTTGTCAGACTTTTAGAAATGCTATATATTTTTCAACGGCCAGTCACTACTCATGTCCAGTCACCAACACCACCACGATAAATTATGTCCCACGAGGTCTTTGGTATTTATCTAAGCCCGCTTGGGCAAGTACAATGCTTAGTGTGAGTACCTGCACAAATACATACAATTCGAGTATGCGTTTACTCTACTTTTATTTTACAGTTTCATAAAATTCAAACATTTAAATATTTTTTTGTATTACCTGTTACGTTATTAATGCATAAATCTAAATGTAAACCAAATTATCATTTTATACCATATAAATATTTTCATATTATAATGTTCTTTTCATTATTGCCAATTCCAAGCAAGATCAAAGGCTCAACGCATGTGAATAGCCACCGGAAAACAAATATGTCTTATTTTATTATGTTACGATACATTGCTTTGGGGTTTTTTTTATGTTCAGGTGAACTAGTATAGGTGTACTTTAATAAAATAAAATGAAATCCAATGTCTGCGTTTACTGGGAATCTGAGAAAGTTAACAAAACTAAAAAAACTAAAAAAAACAAACAAACAAACAAAACAAAAAAAAATAAAAAAATAAAAAATAATAAAAAAAAAATAAACTAAATATGTTGTGGTGTTATAAATAAATACATACATACAATACAGTATGTAGGCAAGGAGGTATAAAAATATACCTCCTTGATGTAGGCCTATATAGTATATACAATGACAATTGTATGTATAAACTATAAAATTTGACAAGAGGAAACACCAGTGGTTGATGAAACTAAAGATAATTCCTATTTCAATCGTTACCTTAAATTTTCAAACTTACTACCAGGGTTCGACAGGCCACAAATACATGACATATATCATAGTTTATTATTTCTCAGCTATTGTACATTCCCCTCAATTCGCTAAACACTTATGAATAATGCATAAGCCACGGTTGAAAAATGTAGCTCATAAATATGCATAGTGAACCTCGCTGTTGTGACCGCTCCTAAGAAGTGACAACCGAGCTCCCTCTCTCCCTCTGTTGACCTTTTCACTTCCGGATAACTGACCTTCGTCAAGAAGAAGAAGAAGGACTTTTTAGATTCTGATTGGGAATACAGTACACTCAATTCGATATTTCACCATAAAAATGCAAAGTGTAATCAACAATATCAAGGGTCACGCTCTTGGTGTTGCTGGACTCCTAACTCCAATTTTAAAGGTAATTATTTAACTATTTAAAACCTAGGCCTAGTTGGGCCCTTGGCTTGGTTGGCTAGACTAGAGGAGTAGGCCAGGCCAGGTAGTGGTGGTAGGTAGGCCTCCTACTAGTAGGGCTTAGGCCTAGCTAGGCAGGGTAGGTGCACCAGGCCTAGCCTAGCTACAGTAGCCTAGGCCTAGGTAGAACTAGCTGAACTGTGGTACAACAGGCTAGGCCTTTTGTAAACCAACCGGGTAAACAGACGATCGGTTCCTGCACGATCGGGCCCATTTCCAGACAATCTAGGCCTAGACCTTTCGGGGCCCATTTTCAGATTGGGGGTGCAGGACCGGTTCGGCCACGATGTATATGTACTGAATGCCATATAATGCAATATTTATACAAAATGTAGGTGGCAAATTTATTCAAATAATATATGAAATGAATTACTGAAAGTGAAAACTTGCAAAGCTAATTTTTACATAATTATTTTTTATAATTTACTAAAATGCTTTTTATTTCAACTTACCGGTATTTAATGATACTATCCATACAGAAAAAAGGTTATTAAATTTTTTCTTTATTAATTACTATTGTTATTATTATCGTTATTATCATTAAATTATGATATAACACTATTGAAAACATGGATTACTGATATTTTAGCATAAAAAGAAATAGGAATTCATATATTAAATTATTAGTATTACTATTACCAATACTTTTTTTTATAAGAACACATTTTATAAGAACACTGAGACTGAAATTGAACAAGAACAAATTAAGGCTGAGGTAAAATGTCAAATGAGTTTTTTATTTTTGAAAAATAGAAAACCAACAAATTCAACTTCAACTTTAATTTATTTAACTTTGTTCAAACACACAATTCAACAGTACTGTATAACTATTATAGGGAAAACCAAGTAGCCAGACCAACAGAAAGTGAATAAACTCCGTAAACGTTGGTCCCGCAGAGAAGAACCCTCAACAATACCCACTTAACTACAAAACAAATTACCATAAAATCATCATAAACAAAAACATCAAGTGAACTGTAGAAAATAATTTTTACAGGAGAACTTTTAAATGAATAAGAAGAACTACAGCTAGTAACTGAATCTGGCAATCCATTTAAAATCTTATCCATGGAGGAAAGCACTTTCCTCCATGGTAATACCATGGAGGAATAATTTACATGGAAATACCCTAATACAATATTACACACTGTAAAATAATAATTTTATGTAATGTTTGAAAAGTGTGCGAAAATATGAAATGAGAACATTTGTAAGAATGAAATGGGCAAAAAAAAAACAAACATTGAGCCTGGGAAGGAATTGGTTCTTACCTATCAGCCTTCAAGTGCTATCTTTTTGCACTGTTGAGTATTATTGGAATAACTACTTCCTAAAAAATTTTAATGTATTATAAATTAAAATGTATAATTGAAATTATATATGAGAAGATGTAATGGGGTGAAAGTTGGGAGGAAAAAGTCTGAAGATTTGTCGGGGGAGGGGCAACACTCCTCGGGAAAATTCGACGGGGGAAGAAAGATAAAGGTAAAGGTAGGAGAATAACCCATAACTTGCAGCGTCATTGTGCTGAATTGCGTATGGGCATGGTCCATGACTATCTAGCAGCCGTAAAGTGGCGCTTCATGGTAGATACATGTTCACATCATTCCACAACAACAGGGCTGAAATGAACCATAACATAGGGGTAACTCCCTACTCTTCCGAAAGATACAATGGGTTCTTTAAAGCCGGCTACTCAAGCGTGCAAAGGCGACGCGACGAAGAACGCATGCAAAGATAAATAGTAATTAAATTAAAATTTTAATACATTTAAAAACTGTAACTCTTTCTTACATTTGAACATCATTATTCTGTGATTATGAATAGTCTACACTAGACTGTCACATGCTATCTAATGATATGTTATAAAATATTAAATTATGGAAGAAAAAAAAGCATGTTATAAAATTGACAAAACATTGCGATCATATTACAGTTAGATTACCATGAAATTTCTTCCCTAGGGATTTCCAGAATGAAATAAATATTGACAACACAATATGAAACATACCAATATTAAATTTTGTATAAAAATATTCAATAAATGTTTAATAGAAACCTGATGAAAACTGACTGCAACATCAAAATTAATATTTAATACAGTCTGTTTACTTTTATCACTAGAAAATTCATTAGTAGGATGTTTTTTTTTTATATAGCATTGCAACCTTGAAAACTATTAATGATAATAATATTTGAACTTTCAAATTATTTGCTGTTAAATGTAAAGGTCATTGTTAAACTGGTCACATTTTTTAAAGCCAAGAATGGTTCAACTTTCTAAATGCCAAGCATACTGTACTACAGTATGGCGAGTTGAATGACTGGTGGTTGACAGGGATGCTGCAACCTACAGCCATACAGTAATATCAGCACTTTTTCGAGCAGCACGCTTGCCTATGGCTTTGGTAGTTCAACAAGTATTCTCGGATAAGGACTATAAAACAGAGGAGAGTAGCTGGTACCAGTTTACCCAGTAGCTCAGACACAAAGTGACCCTTAGGAGGGCAGGAAGTTACTGTACGAGCTGGTCGATGCCACAATCAGAGAGGTCTGAAAAGATAGAAGAACTGCTTTTTGTTGAGTAAGGTAATGGTGGATAATTTAAAGTGAAGTATTAAACATTGCTTTTGTGTTCTAGGAGTCAAAGTTTAAAGAAACAGGAGTTTTGACCCCAGAGGAGTTTGAAGCAGCTGGAGACCATATTGTGCATCACTGTCCAACATGGAAGTGGTCAGCGGGAGATCCAAGCAAATCTAAACCATATTTACCAAAAGACAAACAGTTTCTCGTCACAAAAAATGGTAAGATTAAAATTGATAAATTGTTATCATATTAACTACTTACTATAAGCAACCAATAAATAATGATTTAAAATAATAATATAGTAATATTTGTTGTTTTTTTTTGGTTAAATAAAATTTGTCAATTTACAGATTACATTCATGCTTCAAGGTATTTTTATACCTTGTTTAGCAAACCTGCCGCCCACCAATAATGATGATTTTGAATAAAAATAAAAATTTAATTTAGGCCAATTAGCACACCCACCGCCAAAAAGAATGGAAATTTCAGAAAAAAATAAAATTTTATCTTTCATTTTTATTACGTTCGCTGCTCCCTTGAAATCTCCAAAAATAGGATATGTATATTTCTTCCTAATTTTATAAATATAAAACATTTAACTATCCCATTACTACACTGATTACGTTCACCAATAAAATTTAATTTTTATTTTCTCCTCCGTCTGGATTTTTGGGAAAAACTATTGGCCAAATAAGAAAACAAAATTTTATATTTATTTTTTTCTCCACCCTCCTCTGACGTTCTTTAAATAAATTAGTTCGCGAAACAAGGTATAAAAAAGGTCTTGCCTTAGGTGTGCATAATGGTAAAGCAAACAACCTGCTGAAAATCAAACTACGCAACTGCTGATATCTGGGGTCTTTGTGGGATCTTTGTCAAAAATCACACATGTAGATTATCATTATGAATATGCATACTGTATGTAAACTGTCCAACCATAGCCCTTAAATAAGTGTTACATTCAATCCTTTTCCTACAAGGTGTGGCTTTTTTCGGTCCCTGCAAAATTTTGTTCTGAAACCTTAATTTATTTTTACTTGTGACTTTTTACAATTTACCCTCCAATTTGAGACCCCTCTATATGTGAGACCACTTTTTCAAAGTACCAATTAAAACGATCTTCAATCTTTGAACACAAAACTGACCCTCAAATTGGAGGCGAACTGTGAGACCACCCCACATTGGATGGGAAATTTTATATGACGAAGCTATGTGTCCATACATCAGCAGCTGCACAACTGCAACTACTGTTGGAAAGAACAGCTAACAGTTGACTACTAAAACAACATATGTGATTCCTGAAAATCTAGCTTCTGTATGTACCAGCTCTTTTTTCAGCTCATTGAGGCCTTTTGCATTACTTAAAAGAGTATTAATATAATTTTGTTTTCCTCCCCAAGTGCCTTGCCATAAGCGATGTAAACAGATGGAATACCAAGAAGACTATGAAGCTATCATAGAGGTAGATGATGGTGATGGTGGCTGGGTGGATACTCATCACAATGCAGGTAGAGTATGATAAAAGTTCTTGGTGGTGATAATGGCGGCTGGGTGAACCAGGCCAGAGGAATACGTTGGTTGCACAGGAATCTGCTAAGTTAAATTAACTAAATAGTAAGTGATGCTCCCTAAGAGGCTGGAAAGATGAGGAATTAAAGCAGGGGTTCTCAACTGGCGGCCTGCGGCCATCTCCAGCCTGCGAGTGCGTGTTATGCAGCCTGCTAGAACAAGCCGAAAATAATATTTTCCCTTAGGCTTGAGAATAGATTTCTAACCTTGATAATTTTGGATTCTGTTTTGCCGACTAGGCCTGTATATTGCCCCACAAATCGTAGCAATGTATTCAATCAAATTGGATGAACTTTTGCAGCAAAGAAAAGAAATTTTAACATGCCAGTTTTTGTCCAAGGGTAACTTTCTTAGGTCGAGATGCCCTAGCTGTATTAGGCATTGAGCATCTAGCGGCTCGTTCTCACTTCTATGAAGCTTGGATGCCGCTACGAGCTAAAGTACACCGCTTGCCCTGGCCCTTCAAGTTTATTCAATGAACAATTTTGGCCCCTGTTGTGATATAGTTGAGAACCCCCTGAATTAATGGTTTGCAAACAGTGAAGTCTGTAGTTCCATTCTGTAATTTTCCATTTCTGCTTATTTTGGATGTAAAGAACTAAAATAATGTTAATGCATTTTAAAAAACACTGTATTGATTTGAATTATTACACATTACTTGCTTCAGGCGTTTCCATGCCTGTATCAGACTTGGAACCACAACACTGTATTGATTTGAATTATTACACATTACTTGCTTCAGGCGTTTCCATGCCTGTATCAGACTTGGAACCACAACAAAAAGAAATTGCATCATCCTTACCAAGCACAGAGATTCAAAGTAATAATGATGATGACTTTGACGATGATGAAGAGGCTGCAGATATGGACGGTATGTATGATGGTGTACACGGGTGGGTTTAGGAAGGGGAACTAAGGGCACTCCTCCTCCCCCCCCCCCCAGTTTGTATTTTTTTTATCAGAAAAAGATACAAAAAGGCACTTACAAATACTAAATGTTACATTATTTTGTAGCAGCATGTACTCAACACGAAATAATACTATTATTGGATACATATTTATCTGTATTATTATATTATATCTAGACCTATATGGAAATGGTTTCCCCTCATTTCAGTCACATGAGATGGTATTGGGAGGGGGTGGTGTTCGCAAGTCTCCAGCAAGCAGTTAGATATCTCCCTAGAAGTTACCCGTCTTCCACAAATTCAGGACATTTGCATGATTTTTTTACTTTGTATTATCAATATTATTCCCAGATGTCATCTTGTGTTTGGTATTACCATGTGTAGCAAAATATAATTAGATGTATAAGTGGCACCTTCCAACTATATTGGTCATTGGACGCCCATAGTGGTCATTATTGGTGGCGTATCTAGTCTTGAAATATGGGGTCTGGGGGGGAGGCGCTAGCTAACAAAATATGGTGATGTGAGGTGATATTTAACTACTTGAACATCCCTAGATATGCTACTGGTCATTATGAACATAATTATAGAACCATGATTATCATTATTTATTTCAGAATATGTTGGTAGTGGAAAGTTGGAAGATGACGACGATGATGTAAGTTTACCTGCATCATGTAAAATAATCCTTAATTGGGCAAGAGAAAAAGAGGAATAATCTAAAAGAAAAATATATTTAAAGTTGTTTTAAGCTTTAAATTGAAAATGACCATGACAAGTGTTGTCCTCACCAATTTTCCGGCAGTTAAAATAATAATACTAATCCTAATGGTTTCATTTGAAGCTGCATTCAGATCAGATCCAAACCGCGTATCCATGCACTAAACGCCAGCATCCTTATTCTTACATACTGATTCAATTTTCTGAGCTGTCCAGTAAGCCTTCCGATTCGTAAATTTGGCAGCAGCAGATCCAGAATTTTTTAAACAGGGAGGCACAACATTTTCATAAGTAATTAGCGCTTATTTCAATGCATAATATTGATTTGCATTGAAATTTTTTAATTAGTGGCAAAATGTGGGGCACATTCCCCTGTGCCCTCTACTGGAATGCAGCTTAACTCTCAAATTTCTGATTTAAAGTCCGTGAAAACTGATTAGTGTTATCTCTTATTAATTGATTTATGTAACTTTAATTAAAGGCAACTTTGGATGCGAATGCAGCAAGTGGTAATACAGCATCTAGTGAGGGCGCTATTGGTGGCAATGATAATGGTATTCTTCAGACGAGGACGTACGACTTAAACATCACTTATGACAAATATTACCAAACACCAAGACTTTGGTTATATGGTTATGATGAGGTACTGTATTGGATATTAAAGTGATCTTTTTCTATCAGGGGTGGATTTAGGGTGGTGGGGGGGGGGGGCAAGCCGGCTTTGGCTCCCACCATTTCGGAAAGTATAAAGAAGAAAAGAGAAAGAAAAAGAATTTATTGATCACAAAAAATGCCTCAGAAATTATTACCCTAGGGAATGCCCCCAGGGTATTGTGATCTTCTTGATTAGACCCCCTTTTGGGGGCATCAGTCCCCGTTTCTGACATCTCTGGATCCGCCCCTGTTTGTGGTCAATAAATTACTTTTTCCCAATGGGTAAACAATTAAAGTGACAGACAAATGTCACTTTATAGTCAATGTGGAATTGTACTAACCACATGGTAATTTTGTGATGGTAGTATATCCACCCAGAGCAGGTCATTTTGGACCCTCAAAACATACAAAGGCAAACAAAAAGTACATTACTGTCAATTTCTTTGAATTTTGAATAACAAAAAATAATTACATTTTTTTACACTGTCGTTACAACAAACTTATTGATATCAAAATTGTTATTGGTAAAGTACTGTTTAAAAGTCCATTGCACTGATTGGCTATGAATTGGTTAATTATTATCTGTCAGCCTCACAAATGATTTTGAAATTTACCATTAATAATAGGCAGTGTTTATTTAGCCTGTAGTATGCCAATTCATCTACAAAGCATTTTCATGATGATTAATGAGGCTGCACTCCAACCCTCACTTCAAGGATAAGCTAATTCAAATTTTAGCCTGCAGAATAAACACTTTAATATACAGTATGTAAATATATAAAGTCCATATGTTTTCTGTATGTTTTTTGTCTGTTTTTTGCCTTCTCTTGTTTTTTTTTACTTGTTTATGACATTTTATATTTTAGTGTATATGTATTGAATTATAGGAACCTGTTCAAGTTGCATGCAATCTGGCCTTTTACCACAAGACACAATTTTTTAGAATATTGTTTTTGAATTGAAAGTGAGTAAAACTAAATATAATGTTTCCTATTTTCACATATTCTAGAATCGTAAACCACTTACAGTCGAACAAATGTATGAAGATATCAGTCAAGATCATGCCAAGAAAACTGTAACCATGGAAACTCATCCACATTTACCACAGACAATGTGTTCTGTACATCCATGCAGGTATGAGGGAGCCAACTGACATAAAAATAATCAGAACTAATAAGAAACTGCATATGCATTAAATTTATTTCAGTTATTGTGTCACATAATATATTAACAGCCCTCTTGCCAGGATTTTTTTCAAGAGTGTTGGAATTTCAGAAAATGTCCTCAAAATTTAAAGGATGGTGCGCAAAATTTTAAAGGGTGGATACATTTTCGGTCGGACACGACGGTATAACCCGTGTCCCACAATTTAAATTTCATTTACTCGATACAAACAATATATGCACATTTAAATTATGAAGAAACGGAAACAATTCATCAAAACTAGTACCTACAAGATGGAATCTGTTATATATACTGTATATATATATACACAAAGATGCAATGGGGCTAAATATTTACGATATTTACGACGATTAATTACTGTTAGTAGTCAGTAAAACTTTCACTAAAGGCGAAGGTTTAGCATTACCGTTTTTTTTTTTTTTGGAATACCCAGAAATCCATGTAAATTCAATTAATAGGCCTAAATTTTGTTTTATCATTTTAAGCGTGGTGCAGTCTTGGCTTATTTTGCCAAAGCGTGGCGGTCATTTCGTTGTATTGCCCAAGCGTGGTAGTTCCGCCACGCTAAGTAGAGCTGGCGAGACCCCTGTATTAAATACATATTCAAAATACAAATAAACTTACAATAAATACAATAAAGGAGATTGTATTGCCAGTAGCAAAATCAAGAACAATTCACGTACAATACATTCATTAAATATTATAAAATGGGGCTTTTTATAGTATTAAAATTCACTAAGATTTAGTTTCTGTACATAAAATTCAATAATAAATGCCACTTTAAGAAGTGAAAAACAAACATTAAAATATTCAGCAAAAAAATATGTAAGTAAATTGCCAAATTTAATACAAATAAATAAATGAATAAAATACAGTTTGTTGTCACAAACATGTATTCTAAGGTAAAGTCTGCTGAACAGTTTATAACTAATCTAACATCAAAGTTTACTGGATCACCAGGCAAAGTTCACTGTATGAACAGAAGCCTGTGGTTTCCAGTAAAGGTTATTTTAAAAGTGCAGACCACATGTTTTAGTTTTAAACTTTTGTAGTACAGTATTATGTACAATTCAATAAACTTAACATTATTGATATTTGTTTAACATTTACTGGTACTTCATTCATCTTGAAACTGACGCAGAAGTGAGATTACACAACAACCCCCCACAATTTCAATAATCATAAACATTATTTATACAATATTTGTTTAACATTTGCTGATGCTTTGTTTTGTCTTGTATGACACAGACATGCAGATGTGATGAAGAAGATTATTCACACTGTAGCTGACGGAGGAGGAGAGCTCGGAGTTCATTTGTATCCTTCTGATATTTTTATATTTATTGTATATCTCACATGCTGGTTTCCCTGTATACTTAAACATATATTGTCCCTTGCTAATGTCAAAAATCATAAAAAAAATGAGTTTGAAATAAACTTGCTCCTTTTGCAATAACATACATATTATTAACTTAGAAATTATTGAATATAAAAAATGTGTACCCTGATTTTTAAACCAACAAATTATAATAAAAATAATAAAAAAACTTCCAATGACTGGAAGTGTTTCTATTATTTGCTGTAAACTGATAGGTAGACATTTTTTAAAAACACTCATTTCTATGTTCAAGTTGATATCTTTTATGTAACTTCAAAATGGGCAAGTTAATTTCGAAAAATGTTTTTATGATTTTTTTTAGTCTTTCACTAAGCAAAACCCCATGTAAGCAAATACTCATAAGCATTATTAAAGATACATTAATTAATGGATCTTTCTGAAGTGTCAATCAAACTTAACAACTGGCCAATCAGAGCAAGGTATACGTGTGACTCGCAAGCTCACATGTTGCCCCACAAACTTGCATGTCTGCGTTGTTTTTACACTGTCATTTTGTGGGACCTTAGCAACAATGTCCAAGGGGCGGGGCTTAGTGAAAAGGTCAATTCCATGCTCAAAAAGGTCAATCCCCATGCTCAAACACAAACCTTCCCATGATAAAAGGCTTTATAATTATTACATATAATAATTTCTGCTGTTATTGCCATTGTCATCATTTTTTTTAATTGTTATTAGTGGTGTTATTGTTGTTATTATTTTATTTTTATTATTATAATTGATGTCAAAGTGTCATCTTTACTAAATACATTTTCCACTATAGCCAATTCATGTTGCCACTATGGGAAAACAAACGAGAATTACTAACTCAAAATTTCAGGTTTTCCTTTTCTCATGATTATATGCAAGTGTACAGTGAAAAAAAAATATATGACCCATGGAGTAATGCATTTGTTGAGTTAGCATGGAATGATCTTGCATTATATCTGTTGATTATATGGTGCAATTCAGCCTTAGTTTGATAAAATAAAGAAAATAAATTTAAATCACAATATTTTCATATAATCCTTAACATTGAATTTCTAGATATCTTTTGATTTTCTTAAAGTTTGTTCAAGCAGTGATTCCTACCATAGAATATGATTATACACGACACTTCACAATGTAGGTAGGCAGTATGGATCCTGAAGCGATCGACTCTCGATGTTGCCAATTTCAATTATACTTCCCGATCCCAAAATGGTGGCTATGGCACTTTGTGCATTCCCTTAATCATTTAAAATGCTGGATTCATTCTTGACAGTAAGATTAATAATGAAATATATATAAGCAAAGAGTATAGAACTGCAAGTGGTCTGACTCTCGGGCTTTCGTTGGAATGCAATCCTATCTCAAAAAGTACTACCACTATTATAACTAGAGGGCGTCCTTCAAAAGAACGTAAAAGGCATTCGTATCAATTTTGTGCTGCATGTATAGAATGCTTGTTCGACTTTCAAACTATTCATATTTGAATAGAGCGCCCCCTATCTCATTGTAGTACTTTTTTTCGTGCATACGTTTCATTGCGTGCATACAAAATCAGGGCAGTCGGACCTTTTTTTGCAATTCTCTACTCTTTGATATAATAGGGGCCCAAGTCTCCGGCAAGCAGCAGGAGTCTTCCGGATTATCTCTATGGCCTCCCACACTATATCACAACCGGGAAAAAATCACCTGGAAAATAGCCCATTTCTTGCAAATACATTAAATATGCATGTTTTTAATACTGTATTACACGTTTCTTACTATTTGGCTCACGGAAGTCAGTGTCGATTGGTATCACCATACTCATCAAAATAAATTTAGATGTGCTAAGAAAGCTTGTTTAAACAACAGGGGCTGATCCAGTAGGGGGTCCCCCCATGAACAAATCTCCCAGAAATTACTTTTCCAACTTGGGACTCCTGCAGTAAGCACTATAATAGTACTTGTGTGTTCAAGGGTTTTGTGGCTAAATCCAGTTTCAAGTAATATGTGTCTGAAAAATGTAAAACTGGAGTTATGTATATATGGGATGCTCCAGCTTTCAAAGGTTCTATTAACATTTCACAAAGTTATGCAAACTGATAATGTTCATGAATAACATTTGTTTAAATGCAATTTTGATGGTGTTATAGTATGAGGACCACATTATTAAAGTCATATATAGAATAGATATCTGTTGTACTTTTGTGCTTAGCCAAAATTTAATAAAATAAAATACAATAAAATAAGTTACATTATATATCTATTCATTATTCTGATATGAAATTCATGGCATAATTGTGACCAGAGCTGGCAAAACCGGCCATTTGTAGAATACAATCCTAAATTGAGTCTTCAGTGTTTTTAGATTCTGCATGAATTCGTACTTAAAACAGTGTTTATTTGATGGGAATTGGTTGAATATTAGCAAAGTTATGAGTATTTACTTCATTGGATATCAGCCATGTAGGTTTTGAGAAAACAGCTTCCAAATATTCCAAAATCAATAGTTTATTGTCAAAATTTGTATTTTCAAAAATAAACTTAATAAACTTTTCAGTTAAATTTAGTGATTGATATTTTGCAGAAATGTTCTTCAGTGTATCTGCTTTTACAAAATGCAAAAACCTAAAAATTTTCAAAATTCTCATCTCAAATCTTTTGAGTACTTTATTATAAATTGCGGCAAATGGCGGGGTTTTGCCAGAGCTGTCACAATTAATGGAATATCAAATATTGAATTGAACAGTGACATAAAACAAAAACAATAAGTTTGGGCAGCTTTGGTTTTAGTAATTAAATATGCACACAAGGCTGTCATTTTCTATACAGATTTAAGGGTTCATAATTGGGCAGAGTTGTTAAATATTTTTATTTCAGAATTGGAAAACATGAAAATGCATTAAATAATTGATCTATGTATCTAATCTAGGCTGTTAGCTTGAATTTCAAAACTCTGATATAGAGAGGTTATTATATTACAGATTGCAAACTTTTTTTTCATTTTCTTTAAAATTACTTTCAAACATAGCAATTTGTTATCATATCATATTTTTTAGTAATCGTGTAGTGTATCAGTTTTAAAATGTAACCTAATAAGGATATTAGTATCCTTACATGATTATCTCATGTATTCATATTATTTCAACTTATTCTGTTAATTAATTTATGTTTATTTACAAATTTGTAATACTTTCAAGTTTAACTGTGAACAACATGTCTTCCTCAAAGAATATTATTAATATATTGTTTATCATAAGTATCTATTATCTTAGTGTGTATGACTGAAACATATATTTCTTTAATTAATTTGTATGGGATTTGTATCATACATAGCATAATGGTCTATGTATTGTCACAGCCCCATCCATCCTATTCATTGTATATTTACGTGATTGAATACAGTACACCATGTCTATACACACGTACACCTTTTCCAATGTAGTTCTAGCATATATATTCAGGGGGAAATCAGGGTTCTCACAGTCTTCTTACAGTCTACAGTGGGACCACCAGGCCCAAGTCACTCCTGGCAGTAGAGAAAGTGGGAAATTTTGTACCACTTTAAAAGCTGTTCTGAATACTTTTAGAATGTATTATGCCAAAAAATTAACCCAATAGGAAGGGGACATAGCCTATTACATGGTGTATTTATAACCCTGCCTCCCGGCTGGCTCTTTAACTACACTGATGTATATTATAGAGTAATTTTCACAAGCATGCACTAATGACCAGTAACTGGTGTAGACCTATGAACACAGATTCTTGTGTCCTCTGATTTATGTACACTGGTGCATAGTAATGTTGACCTATCGCTGGTGTCTACATATGCATAGCCTTACATCTGTGCACTAATTTTAATTTGTACACTGTGATTTCTTCTAATCTAAACATATGTACACTGATATAGACTAGTGCATGGTGATGTTGGCTGCTGTCAACTGGGGTATACTGGTTTTCAAAATATTGGAATATATTTAAATTAAGATTAAGTGCAATTATGTGTAGATGATATGATGTTGTAAATGATGTTCGAAGTAAAAGCACTTGATTTAAACAATTTCGCTTGAGTATTTAAAAGCACATTCCTCTAAAGCAATTAAGCAAGTTTCTGAATAATATGGTTAATGCATAGCACAGTTCAAGTAATGGTACACCTATCATCTATTGTATTTAAAATAAAAGAACCCATTTAAAATATACTGATTTTGAGAAATCCAATAAACAGTAGGTGAAGTTCCTACAAATATTGTTATTACAGTGGTTGTGCTTGTAACGTTAACAACCTACCAAAGCTGTTGCGGCTACCTTAGTGAGGTGTGGTTAATGCGGCCGAGTGTACAGTTACTGCATTTTGGTTGCAGTTACTGCAGCAGTAACAGTCCTGCAGCATTTTCGGCTTTCAAATTTGTTGAGGTCATCAAGGGTGGATTGCAGTGCTGTGTAATCTCTTCATTCTGATACATTTGTCATAATTACTGTAACTTGAGAAGCACAACTGGGAAATTCAGTTACGTTGAAACCAATAAACTGCTTGAGAGTGTAAGGGATGATGTGTACGGAACCATGGAGGTATTATTGAGAAGGAGATCACTCGGCAACAGTTCCCTTTGATGCGACAAACCCATGTGTTCCCCACTTTTGCATCGCGCGCGGGCGTATTACCCTATAATTCACTTTTTTTTTTCGTTAGCAACAACATGCATTTATACGCTTCCAGCAGAGCAGTTGTGCAATAAAGCGTTTGATTTTAACCCATTAAATATCTTTATAATGGACAGTGTTCCACTGATTAGATTTTTTCGGACTTTTAATATGATGTTATTTGTATATTTCAGGAACGGATTCTGTAAAATATTCATGTTAAAATTATTTCTGTGTTCATTATAATTTTGTCTAAATATTGATTAGTTCGACTATAAAGCTAAGTGAGCGTAAAACTGAAAAATACTCAGATTTTGGATTGATTTTTCGAATAGTTAACCCTAAAATGACTTAGTTTATTATAATCCTCAATCATTTATTAATTAATATCTGTTAAAATTAGAATTAGCGAATTTTGGCCAATTTATGGAAATTGAAGTTGAAATATGCTATACTTTTAAAGGTCATGTAAATGTTCCATTAAATTCGAAACTTTTTTTGGTTGAAAAAATTAATATGTTTGATATTTTATGAGAGATAAATGCGTCAGCTTCAAAATGGAAACGATTGCGCAGCCATAGTGATTGACTGTATGTAGTGCGCATCGAAAAGAGAAGGTGCTCTCCATTTCGCCATGTTAAATTTTTTGGTAAACTATGCCTGCTGAAAATTTGATGGCGGGGAACACATGGGACTTCAAAGGCATCGCGCAAACGTTCTTCACGCGCTGCGGCAGCTTTGATCTTGGTTCATTTGCATAGCGCTGCGTGCGCGTAGCTTTTTCGAGTGATCTCCTTCTCAATAATACCTCCATGACAGAACTAAGCATCATTTTGGAGGAGGTCTGTATTCAGAAGGTGTTGTATGATTTGGCCTAACCCCAATTTCAAACACATCCCTCTCTGATAACCAAACCACACTTCCCCACCCCCACCCCCAAA